CTCTCTCTCTCTCTCTCTCTTCAATGCTCACCGCCAAACCAGCTTGTTTTTTTCCCACTTATTTACTAAATGCACATCAACCCCCCACCACCAGCAAAAAAATAAATAAAATTTAAAAAAAAAAAAACCCTTTTTCCATAATCATCAATTATATATGAATACCCTCAAAGCTTAAGACTTTCTCAAAAGCCAAATCAAGCCATCCCCAAAAAAGAAAAAAAAAAAAACACAGTCTTTGACTGAATAAATTCTTGAAAATGAGCCACCAATATTCTACGGCGGCTTCGAAAGTCGACGACGACAACAACGAAGACGACGAGAAAAACGAGAAATCGTTGAACGAGGGTAATAAGAAAAATAACAACGACGGAACGTCCAAGAAAGTCGGGATGGGGAAGCTTTTCGCCTTCGCCGACGGCTACGACTATTTCTTGATGTTCGTCGGGTCGATCGGCGCGTGTGTTCACGGCGCTTCGGTCCCCGTTTTCTTCATCTTCTTCGGCAAGCTCATCAACATCATCGGCTTGGCCTATCTTTTCCCTAAGGAAGCTTCTCATAAAGTTGCATTGGTATATCATATCATATTAATATATTATATTATATATATAATCACGTACAAAATTATTAATATTATTATCTTTATTACTAATATTTATTTATTTTTTTGGGAAATTTAACATGTGATGGAAATTTTTGATTTGCAGTATTCGTTGGATTTTGTGTATCTAAGCCTAGTCATAATGGTCTCCTCATGGACAGGTGAAAAAAAAATTAGAAGAGATTTATTATTTGATACTAATATATAGTATTATTTTCAAGAACATGTTACATGTGTGTAAATATTTTTAATAATTTATACTCCCTCCTTTTTTAAATAAATGTCGTTTTGACTTTTTTGATTCATCCATTTTGCTATGTATCTAGACATATTAATGTCTAGATACATAGCAAAATGGATGAATCAAAAAAGTCAAAACGACATTTATTTAAAAAAGGAGGTAGTATATGAGAGAGAAATGTTACGGTCCCGTTACCGTACCTTTCCCGTCGGGTATTTTAACATTTCTCGTAATTTGATAAAACACATGATAGGATGATACTGTAATGGGACCGTAACATTTCTCGTAATTTGAAGTTTAATTGAATGATGATGATTAGTGATGATTTATTAATTGATGGTTAAATTAATAAAAATAAAAATAGAGGTGGCTTGTTGGATGCACTCTGGGGAAAGACAAGCCGCAAAGATGAGAATGGCATATTTGAGGTCAATGCTAAATCAAGATATTTGCATTTTTGACACTGAGGCTTCTACTGGCGAGGTCATTTCTGCAATTACTAGTGACATTATTGTGGTGCAAGATGCAATTTCTGAAAAGGTGACCCCTCTCATTTAATTATAATTTTTCACTAAATCTATACATGAAAATTCAGTCATAATTGAAAAGGTTTATAATGATCATAATTGTGGGTTTTGTTTACAATTATTGCTAAGTTAAGGCGCTAGTCACTATATATATAAGTGTTCTTTTTATGGGCTTTTTTTTTTTTTTTTTAACATAGGGATTGACCTTGTAATTAATGATAGATCAAAGATAATTAATGTGTTGCGGTAGAAAATAGCTGTAAAAATTTAGGTTTAATTTTTATGCAATTTTTGGGTTAAAAAAGAAAAAAGAAGGAATAATCAAGGTGTCATGTGGTGGTGTTATCTTATCTGTACAACAAAATTGCAAATTTGTCCATTTATTTTTACTCTAAATTAACTCTCATGGAAGACAAATATGCATAAATGTGGTTAGACATGGCCAGGAGTTGGTCCGACCTGAACCGACCCTGGAACAGCCTGCCCTAGCCGGTTTTTGAACCGGCCTGGAACTCCTTAAGGGCCGGTACGGGTCGTGTTGTACTCATTTTTTACTTTTTGGGCTGGCCCGGGTTTTATGACTAGTCACATTTGTATTTTTTTTTTTTAAATCGGCGGTTCAATGAGTTGTCGGGTTGAACCGGCTCTTAGATATAGGTGAGTCGGTTACGGGCTCAGGAATTGAGGTTGGGTCGTGACCCGGCCCGGGCTTTCGCCATCTAAATGTGATTGGGTTTATTACGGCAGCTATAGCTTGTAACGTATAAATGGGTAGTAAATGCAAAAGTATGACTTAATCAATTTGCATTTATTTTTGGTTTGGTGAGATGGTTGGGACAGCTGGGAGTTCTGTTAAGTCTCTTATTTAAATTTGTTATCATTTTCATGTGATTAAGGCTATGTTTGGTAAAACTAGCTGATAAGCTAGCTGATAGCTGATAAACTAGTTTATAGCTTAATATATGTCTAATATATGTCGTTTTGAGAAGTTGCACATTAATTAAGAATATTTTCTTTGTCAATAATAATCTTATTTAATAAAGATAAAGATAAATGTTTTGAGAAAAAATGAAGAGTGATTATGAAAAGACGTAATGTATTTATTAACTAAATGAGGGTAATAATAGAAAAATATGCACAAAAAATCCAAAACGACATTTATTTAACTAATATTTGATAAAGCTAGAATGACATTTAAAAAAAATAGGAGGAAGTAATAAGCAATTCATATTAAAAAAAAAATTTGTCTCTTCATTTGACAAACAATTCATTTTGTACAATCTTTCCATATTAAATTTTTTCCATAAATGTTGTTGTTAGGCAGTTCTAATCAACAATCTTTCATGCAATAATGTCTATTTACAGTATAACTGTTATAATAATTAATAAGCCTAATATGTTTTGCAATAATATTATACTAGGAAATACTACGTCCCGTTACGAAACCATTCGTCGAGATTTGTAACTGTTAGATCATTATGTAACTGTCGGGGGTAATTGATCTAACGGTTACAAACTCCGACAGAATAGTTCCGTAACGAGATTGTTGTATCTCCTTATTATACTTATTTGGTATGCAATTCATGTTATGTGGTGCCACAAAACGTATGATAATGTTGTTGGAAATTAAAGAAGGGGACCTCTAGGGCATGACACATCAACTAAAACTCAATTGTCTGTAAGCTTCACTCGCTTTCGTGTTAGAATTATACTTATCAACTTGTATATTATATTTTATATATGTTCATATAGATATAAATTTCTACCGGGTCTATTAAATAATTTAAACTATAATATAATTGACTTGCTTAAATTTTTAATATATATATATATATTAAAATATAATTAATCTAATATTATTACATCTAATTGATGTTAAGGGGAGAATTGGTATAACTAAAAAATCGGTTTTGATTGCATTTATTATTTTAAATGGTTGGTTTTTGTTTGAATAAAATTGAATGAGTGGAGGTGGAAGTGGATCTTTTAATTTGTACTATAATAATAAAAAATTGTAGTTATAAAAGTTGATATGACTTAAAAAATTAAAAAAAAAAGAATTATTAGAAATGATATGTAGTTGAGATACGTGAGTATAGGAAGATTAAATTAAAATTAATGCGATATATGCAGATGGTTGATTGATATTATTTAATATATTGATAATATTGAAAAAAATTAAATTGAATTAAATTTGAGTTGAATTGTGAGGCAAGTAAAACAAAAATTTATCAATAAGTCAAAATAAGTTAAATTTTATAGAGCCCTAACAAGTGTATAAGTTTGGTAGATTTTTTTTTAAATAAAAAAATCACATAATTTAGTTGGTTAATAGTAATTTCTGATTTTATTTATAATAAATTTATTAATTTAGAATTATATTATTTATTGGGCCCTCTTTGAAATCCTCGGGCTTTGATCCAAGCTTCCTGTGTCGATGGCTATGGCAGGTGGGCAACTTCTTGCATTACGTAAGCCGCTTCGTATCAGGTTTCGCCATAGGGTTCATCAGAGTTTGGCAAATCAGCTTGGTCACGCTCTCCATTGTGCCGTTGATTGCTCTCGCCGGCGGCATCTACGCTTATGTAGCCACAGGCCTTATCGCCAGGGTCCGAAAATCATACGTCAAAGCCGGAGAAATCGCCGAGGAGGTAAATTTGTCCAACCTCTACGTAATTTTTCTTTGAATTTGATCTCGATGTGGTTTTATCCATCGCTCGTCTATTGATTCGTGGATTTTGTTCTGTATCAAATTGCTTGTGGGCGGAGCATTTGGTTGGCTGGTAGTTTCTAATCATGATCTTTAGGGATTTAGAGCTATATGATGTTGCTGGCTGAGTTTCTAAAGAATAATGGGTGTTGGTTATGTTGCCGATTTCAGGTGATAGGTAATGTGAGAACAGTGCAAGCATTTGCAGGGGAAGAGAAGGCAGTCAAATTGTACACAACGTCTCTGCTGAACACTTATAAATATGGGAAGAAAGCAGGACTGGCTAAGGGTCTTGGACTCGGAACCTTGCATTGCGTTCTTTTCCTTTCGTGGTCGTTGCTCGTGTGGTTCACAAGCATTGTTGTTCATAAGAATATTGCCAATGGAGGAGAGTCGTTTACCACAATGCTCAATGTAGTTATTGCTGGCTTGTAAGCTTTCTTAGTCCCTTTCTTTAACTGATACCATGCTAAATATGTAGGTTGGGTGGAAATACGTATCATGAAACAATTGGGTTGGTGTATATATAGAACTATTTAACGTTTTTTGAGTGCCTCTCGATTTCTAGAATGCTTTTCTATCTTTTTATTTTAAAAAAGATATATATAAAAACAGTTGAGTCTTGTTACTAATTAAAATTTAGAGGATTCTTGTCCTTCCTTGTATCGCCTGTTCCATACATTTCTAGTATAGTAGAAAACACATACTGACCCGAAAATGTCTTGGAAAATGCTCGAAAGCTTGATTAATATTGGAATTTTTAAGTATTAATGAAACTTATCTATATGTAAATGTAACCACCTTCTTGTATATGTATATATTGGTTGAAGTTTTGATGATAAAGCATTACTTTCTTCAGTATACTGTATCAACGGAGGTGGCACCAAGCTGCCTCCGTAATACACTCTCTCTTTGGATGCAAAAATGATGTTTTTTACTAGTGCGTTTGTCGGCATGTCAACTGGATCATTCATACCATGATATCGGATCAACTTCTCTCTATATGCACATTGTTTCCATGCATTTCTGGTCTTCATCAAGAAAGTTATTGTATTTATATAGTGTGCCCCTCACCAATTGACCATGAAAGTTTTGTGTTTCTGTAAGGTCACTTGGGCAAGCCGCACCGGACATTACAGCATTCATTCGAGCAAAGGCAGCTGCATACCCAATTTTCCAGATGATCGAAAGGAACACAATCAGTAAAACCAGTTCGGAGAAGGGCTGGAGGCTGAGTAAAGTAGATGGTCACATCCAGTTCGAGAATGTTACATTTAGCTACCCATCCCGACCGGATGTGCTGATATTCAACAAGCTCTGTCTCGATATTCCTCCCGGAAAAATAGTAGCACTTGTTGGAGGAAGTGGTTCAGGCAAGAGCACCGTTATCTCTCTCATAGAACGTTTCTATGAGCCGCTATCCGGACATATTCTTTTAGATGGAACTGATATAAGGGAGCTTGATCTCAAGTGGTTCAGGCAGCAGATAGGGTTGGTAAACCAAGAGCCCGCCCTATTTGCTACCACCATCAGGGACAATATCCTGTACGGGAAAAATGATGCCACTACCGAAGAAATTACGAGGGCAGCAAAACTTTCAGAGGCAATCAACTTTATCAGTAACCTTCCTGATAGATTTGAAACTCAGGTACTTATTCCTATAACTGTGGAAAAGTTTGTCAGATAATATTTCCCTACTAACTTGTCTTTTGGGAAATAATTAATGTACACTGCACAGGTTGGGGAGAGAGGAATACAGCTATCTGGAGGACAGAAACAAAGGATTGCAATATCGCGTGCGATAGTTAAAAACCCGTCAATCTTGTTATTGGATGAGGCTACAAGTGCACTTGATGCTGAGTCGGAAAAGAGTGTGCAAGAGGCTCTCGACCGTGTAATGGTGGGGAGAACAACTGTTATCGTGGCCCATCGCCTTTCCACAATTAGAAATGCGGACGTGATAGCTGTTGTGCAAAATGGGGCCATAGTAGAAACCGGAAGCCATGAAGAGCTCATGTCAAGGCCACACAGTGCATATGCTTCACTTGTTCAACTCCAAGAAGCTACTTCTCTACATCGCCTGCCATCTCATGGCCCTGCAATGGGTCGGCCACTAAGGTTTGACTTTATATTCCAGAAATGCTCGGTTGTGTTAACTACTGATGATTTTACTTTTTCTTTTGTTGAATAATTTAGCTAAATACTTTATTTCCCATTTCACAAAGTAAATTGAGGTTTTTAGTGATTAGTCGCTGAAATTCACTAGGATTAATTTCTCTATATCACTATATGTTAGACTGGGCTTATGTTAGTGACTGGCCCCAGGAAAATTGTTGGATGCTGGAAGATGAAGCAATTATTTTGGATGAAAAGGATGAAATCAGGCAGCAATATAATTTTGTCATGCAATTGTAGTATATATATCACAGTAGGAATTGATTCATGTTATTGCTTTTGTTTGATCTCTTTGTCATTTAAGAATACAACTTATAAAAATGCTTGAATCAAGAAACCGTTAAGTACCATATTCACCTCAGTTCCTAAAACAGTTATGGCATGATTGGTATAATGAATGAAATTGATAGGAATGGGATGATTATGGGAATAGAACAAGTTTTCTCCATTGATGTGTATTGGTATGTTAGGAATAACACTTGAATGGAATGATATTTTCATTCTACATTATCAATATATTATCAAAAAATAATTTCAATATTTATATTAATGTTATTTTTCTGTGTAGTAATATTATTTTTTTTTTAGAAATTTATATAGTTCATCGTACGTTTATTTATATATGGTCGTATAGAATTACTTATAGTTTAATTCCATTTATGAATACATGTAATATACATATATATGAATAAAAAAAAAATCTAAAAATTATTTATAAAAATATTTTCATAAATTTTATTTTTATATGATAATTAATATATCTAAGTAAAATCTGCATAAAAAAATTATTTTTAATTATTTAAGTATAGTTTATCATAAATAATTTTAAAGATATGGTAAAGAGTAAACCCATTATTATTAGCTATGGAATGACTAATACCATGGAGAATTGCTTTGCAATTCCCATTGGAATGGTCATTCTTTCCCAAAAAATATACCAATCATAGGAATATAGGATTAGGAATGAGTAAGGGAATGGCCATTTTATTCCCTTGTTATTCCATCATACCAATCATGCCATTATCTCACTTGCAATAAATTACTTCGCTCATTACAAGTCCTATAATGTGAAAATGAATGTGCTAAAGCTTAATTAGTATCTGATGATAAATTATAAATGTTGTAATTCCTTTCTACATTCAGTGTGGCACTAGTATGTGATGGTTTTGTGTGTGTAATTTTCGTTTGTGTAGCAGATATGAATCAGATTGATGCTCCTAACTAGATCTGATACTGACTTTTTAGTTCCTTCTTTTCCCTCGTTTTTAAATTAGTTTTGATCATAAAGTGTGATCCATAGTGTTCCTATTTGAAATGCCAATCTGTTCCATTCTTCATAGAATTTCATTAACTTTTTCCTGGTTTGATATGCATACAAAAATGGTGCAGCATTAAGTACTCTCGTGAAGGTAGCATTAGGTATTCACGCGAATTATCCCGCACGACAAGAAGTTTCGGTGCAAGTTTTCGTTCTGAGAAGTCTGTAAGTAGATTCGGTGGTGATGGACCTGAGATTATGAGACCAGTGCACATCTCCTCAAAAAGACTGTACTCTATGGTGCGACCTGACTGGTTTTATGGGTTTTTTGGCACAATTTGTGCATTCATTGCTGGAGCACAAATGCCACTTTTTGCACTTGGTGTCACTCAAGCTCTTGTATCTTATTACATGGACTGGGACACAACACGTCGGGAAGTTAGGAAAATTGCATTCCTCTTCTGTGGTGGCGCTGTTATTACTGTCATTGTCCATGCTATTACACACACGTGTTTTGGGATCATGGGAGAACGGCTTACTCTTCGTGTTCGAGAAAAGATGTTTACTGGTGAGGTTAAAGACCATAAATTTATCAAGCAGTTTGAAATTCATCTGGAATTCTTAATTGAACTAAATTATTATGGAATGCGATTTTTACATTTCTTTCTTTCCCATATAGGTTGTTTTTTTTTTTTTTTTTTTTTTTTTTTTTTTTTTTTTTTTTTTTTTTTTTTTAAAATTCTTATCCTTGTAGCTAAATATAAGATTTGGATTGAGATTCAACCTAACATATAATCACAAATATTGATCCCAATAATTATATTCTTTTTTTTCACTTTCTTTCATCAAATAGTACCTACTGCTTACAGCTCATTTGTTGGCGGCAATTAACCAAATCCCTTAATAAAAAAGGTATAATTGCCTTTACAGCCATGAAAAGGAAATATATAGATCTGCTAGCTCACAAAATAAATTAATTGCTTAGTACACTTGTTTTCTTAAAGAAACTTGTGTTTTTGGCTCTAAATATGCCAATCAAATAAACACGTACTTGTCCACTGTTGTACAAATTTACTAATGCATATTAGTTTTGTTGCAGCCATGTTGAGAAACGAGATAGGATGGTTTGATGATGTCAACAATACAAGTGCTATGCTTGCATCACAACTAGAAAGTGATGCAACTTTGTTGCGCACGGTGGTTGTTGATCGATCGACCATACTATTACAAAATGTGGGTTTAATTGTGACCTCGTTTATCATTGCATTCGTCTTGAACTGGAGACTCACTCTCGTTGTAATCGCCACCTATCCATTAATAATCAGTGGCCATATCAGTGAGGTACATCTCTCATATTTCCTCTTATCTTCAGTGATAAGAAAAATTCAGATCTTAATTTGATGATCTGCTTCTGTGTGGTGTTGTTGCAGAAACTTTTCATGAAAGGTTATGGCATTGACTTGAACAAAGCATATCTCAAAGCTAACATGCTTGCTGGTGAGGCTGTGAGTAACATCCGAACAGTGGCAGCATTCTGCTCAGAGGAAAAGGTTCTTGATTTATATGCCCGCGAACTCATTGAACCATCTAACAGCTCATTCAGGCGGGGCCAGGCTGCAGGAATATTTTATGGAGTCTCTCAATTTTTCATTTTCTCGTCCTACGGTCTCGCCTTATGGTATGTTTCTTTACAAAAATTCTTTAAGATTGTGTGCCAAAAGTAAATCCGACAGCTGAATTTTTACTAGGTCATTCTATTTCGAATATTGATAACTCCGAGTAGTTAATCTATGAATCCGTAAGTTGTGTGGTGCACACCCCACGGCCCACGGAGCAGTTACATATTCAGCATTCTAATCATAACTCTAAAATAGGAAAATAATAGGAAGTTCTGTCTATGATGTATGTACTTCACACAACTCATTGATAGTTTCGTACTTGATCTGAAAATTTCCTAATAAGACAGATGGTTTTATAAGTGGGAATTATTGAAAGTTTGATCGATGATGTGTATCCATCATAGGACATGTTAATGTATTTGGTGGCAAAAATATTTGGACCATGAACACTCGTTTTTACCAAATTCTTCAAAGGTATGGTTCTACTCTCATGGCAAGGGAGCTCGCTGGCTTCAAATCAGTTATGAAGTCGTTTATGGTATTGATTGTGACGGCCTTAGCCATGGGTGAGACGCTAGCCATGGCACCTGATCTCCTAAAGGGTAACCAAATGGTGGCATCTGTTTTTGAAGTGCTCGATCGTAAGACTGAGATTTTGAATGATGTTGGCGAAGAAGTTCCAAGGGTAGAAGGGTCTATTGAACTCAAGGATGTTGAGTTTAGCTATCCCTCGAGACCCAATGTGCTGATTTTCAAGGACTTTAATCTAAAAGTGCATGCAGGAAGGAGTATGGCATTAGTAGGGCAAAGTGGTTCTGGAAAAAGCTCTATAATTTCCTTAATACTCAGATTCTACGATCCTACTTCAGGCAAAGTAATGATTGATGGTGAGTCTTCCCGGTGCTATCTTTTCTTTGGGATTAGTTTTAAATTTAAATCAGAAATACTATCCTTGAGGTTTGCCCAAATCACAGAACAAACCCCCAGCTAACTTTGAATGTTACAGGAAATTATTCTCAAGGTTACATTAATTTTACATTTTAAATGACTGATGTAATTAAATATTTTTACCAATACATCTTTGGCCTTCTAAATATTTCAAGCAATTATTCCTCTAAATTACACTTACATCCCTTGGTTTTTTTCTAGTGATATATATGGTTACAGGAATTTGAAAAGCTGAGGGGGTCTAATTGTGTTCAATTTCTTTAGCTGAAGAAAATGTTTGGGGAAAATGTACATGTAAACTTTATAGAATTGACTGAATGGTTTTTTATTTTTTTATTTTTTTTTTTCCTTTCTTGTTTCAAAGCCTCAAATCTCATGGGTATTTTGTAATCATCTCTTTATCTACTCTTGGCTCATGGTCATGTGACGAAATTATGCAGGGAAAGACATAAGGAGGCTCAAACTTAAGTCGCTAAGGAAGCACATAGGTCTCGTGCAACAGGAGCCAGCTCTGTTCGCCACATCTATCTACGAAAACATACTTTACGGCAAAGAAGGAGCCACAGAAGGTGAAATAATCGAAGCAGCTAAGCTTGCAAACGCGCATAGCTTCATAAGTGCCCTTCCCGAGGGCTACTCAACGAAAGTCGGAGAACGTGGAGTCCAGCTTTCGGGAGGCCAGAAGCAAAGAGTAGCCATTGCACGTGCCATCTTGAAAAACCCTTCGATCTTGCTTTTGGACGAGGCCACAAGTGCTCTTGATGTGGAATCCGAGCGTGTCGTGCAGCAAGCTCTTGACAGGTTGATGAAGAATAGGACAACAGTCATGGTAGCCCACAGGCTATCGACCATTAAAAATGCAGATCAAATATCCGTTTTGCAAGATGGGAAGATTATCGAGCAAGGGACTCATTCTACTCTTATAGAGAACAAAGAGGGCGCGTATTATAAGCTGATTAATCTACAGAGGCAACATCAACACTGACTTTGACGACAAACTGTATGTTTTATATAAATACAGATTTTTTTTACCATCCGTTTTTCAACATCTAACTGCCAATGCATTGCATCTTCATCATTTGTATTGTTGGGCTCTTGGAGTATGATGATTGGATTCCAAAAATATTGAACTTTTACTGTGGTAATTATGGCTTGTTTGCTCCATGTTGAGATGGGTGAATTTCGCTGTAACCGTATGGGTAGTGCCCACACGGTGTTTTTAACCATATGTGTGATCCGACTGATAAAAAATCTTCTGTACGGCAGCCAACACGGGTAGGATTTGACGTTACTATTGTGACGAGAATTGAATCTACCAATTTTTCCTTCAGATATCTGTGTTAGAGTGAGTTGTAATATTAGGAAAAGTTTCCTGAGAATGTTTAAGTCGACTACATATCTCTATTGTATATATCGTTTATGAAAAAATGTACGTTCACGTAAGTTTTTTACATAATAGATGACGTAAATGATGTAATGTGTAAGAATTATTGATTTTAAGTAGATATGGTGTGTAAAACTTACATGATTTTTGTCACGAATCCCTTACAAAATATTTAATTAAAATAAGCTTTTTACAGTAATAATCTAACTACATTCCAATGCATTCCTTAGATCTAATGGAATAGCATATTTTGAATTAGGGAAACAAGTTATTGTGTAAGGGACACACAAATTCATAAAAATATGCTAATAAATAAGCACATTCCCTAATCAAATGCAATAGAATATTATGAGTTAGGAAAAGAGGTTAATCTAATGCAATAGAATATTATTGTGAGTTAGGAAAAGAGGTTAATCTAATGCAATAGAATATTATTGTGAGTTAGGAAAAGAGGTTAGATTATGAGGGAGACACAAACACGTAAAAATAAACCAATAAATACAAAATTAAGATGTATTTTTTCGACCTATAGTTATGGTTACACTCATGTCTATTTATAGATTGATGATTTTATTCCCTCACATATATACTCCGGTGCCTTGTATCAGCCAAAGTATAAGGATTATTCCTTCCATATAGAGCACAAACTTGTTTTATCAATTTAATATAATAAAAAAGAAGAGTACTGCTACAAGTACATAATAGTGTACATAATGGTGTACATAATACTCACATTGTGTGAGACCCACCAAAAATAAAAAAAATCAAGTAGACCCCACATCATGTGAGAGTTATGTACATCTCTACGTACATTTATTATGTACATTTAGTATTTTTTTTTTTAAAAAAAAAGGAATAATAGGCAGGAATAAAGAATATCTTATCCTTCCATAAAAGGCAACTTGTAAATGGATGTCCATATCTTCTTTTGACTTCTTTTTTATGTTGCATTAGCCATCACATCATCAATCACTTTGAAAGTGAAGAGTATTGCAGCTCAATACTTCAATCACTAAAAAAAAAAAAATATGAAATTTCAACGGAATATATTTTAATAGAATTTAATAGAATTATTTCAACGGTAATTCAAATGGATATTTCAATGTTATTATTCCCGTTTGAATTTTTCAATAGATTCCAAAAAAAAAATCGTTAGAATGATTTTTCATTGAACCATTGAATTTTGACGATTCCAACGGTGGATTTTACAACGGGGGTGAAAATAATTCCTACGGAAAAAAAAATCGTTGGATCTCATCAAATTCCACCTAAAATTCCAATGAAAAACACATTTCAACGGAATATTTCCTTTGGAATGGTTCCAACTCCAATGAAAAACACATTCCAACGGATTATTTCCATGGTTCCAACGGAAGTTATACCATTGGAATATCCGCTGGAATTTTCATTGAAATATATTATCATAGGATTTTTCGTTGGAATGTAACAATTTTTTTTTATAGTGAATAGACATTGTTACCTCAGCCCTGGAACCACATCAAGCCGACCCGCACCACGGCCGTAACACCGAATTGCCCCAAAACAGACAATATAGTGCGGCGACCCAAGCCCCGACCCCAAAACGCCTGGACACTGCCCAAAGCCACAAAACCGCCACTGCATCTCCTCGACCAACACCACTGGAAGAAGAATCAAAGTGTCGGCCCCCTTCGACCCAAAGACCGAGCACAGGGAAATGAAGACCTTGAGCAGTGGCTCACCCTCAATCGCCCATCGAAACAAGGCCGCCAAGGTCCACCACCGCACAACAGAGGGACCACCTACCTGGATTCGCGAACCGGCGCGGGAAAGACGAAGACTGTCCGCTGCAGACGAGACGAGGCCCAAATCCATCAAAATCGAAAGGTGGAGCAGAAAATAAGGAGCGAGATCCAGACGGCTAAGGCTAATGACCGCCGGCGAAGCTTGATGGCCGCTGAAGAAGGCGAACAACGTCAAATCGGAGGAGAGCTTATCTTTGGCGAGGGTTTCTTTTTAAACTTGTGAAAACATGAACTGGATAGTTCATCACCTTTGTCTATATTCTCAGGGAACCGTTTTTCATATGCTCTTCTATATAAACGGCTCATTGGGAGCCTTCAATACCTTACAATTATCAGACCAAACATCACTTATGTTGTCAACAAATTGAGTCACTTCATGTAGCTACCTTGGACTCCCGCTGGAAAGCAGTTAAAAGACTTCTCATGTATCTTGTTGGGAGACTATGGTTGGAATGTTTTCAAGTCACCACATCCCAGCCATCTCTGACTATGACTGGGCTTCTGGCCCAGATGATAGAAAACCTACTTCTGGTCATTGAGTCTTTGTGAGAGAAAATTTGGTGTCTTGAAGCTCTAAAAAGCACCACTAAAGTATAGTATAGGAGTGTTGGCCATGCAGTTTCAGATGTCCTTTGGTTAAAAATTCTCCTTCAGGAACTTCACATTTGTAAGCTTCTACCTCCAACAATTTGGGTTGACAATCTTAGTGCGGTTTTCATTTCTTGCAACCCAGTTATTCAAACCAGAACCAAACATATCAAAGTTGATCTCCCCTTCATCAGAGAAAAATTCCTCAACAACTAGGTTAATTAGTTTGACCAAACGTGGCCGCCAATTATATCGATTTTTAACATGTACGAGCTCCCAAGCTATTTTGTGATGGATAGATATATCCACCCAAGTATAATAACATTCTCATCATCGATAAACAATGACCTACAACAATTTACCTTAAAGCCGATATGCTTTTCTGTTCATAATGGATAACATACTTGCAATAAATAAATTATGGTATACCAGTTAACATGAGATGCAAGGAAGTGAATGAAAAGCAGCAAATGAATATGAATTTAGGCCTGAAAAGAAAAAAAGCGGTTCCTCATATCCAAAGTCATTTACGTTTGAGGTCGGTGAGATATTTTTCTAGAAAAAAAAAAGAAAAATATAGCAACAAATAGAAAATATTAAACATTACAAAAAAAATCTCAAAACTGCATGTGGGAGAGTTAGTGATGATGCCACATTGCAAGTAGAGGGATAAACTCTCTTCAAAATAAGTTAGAAAAGTAAATAATCAACCCAATAACCAAAAAAAAAAAACTTGACCTAACTAAGACAGTCCAAAATTATGTTCTCATAAAGTAAAACATAAGAATTGGGAGTGGCCACGTGGCACGCAAAGAAGTCTCGCCACTCCCAATTATTGAGATATAGAGGCGAGAGTAGGTGATGTAGGGAAGCGTACGAATGGGAAGGATAAACGAGTAAACGAGATACTTTCTCGTAAAATACGTAAAACTCACAAAACTCAATCAATTATTATTTCATATTCAACTGCCAATAACAAAGAAGAAGAAGTCTCTAAATAAGACTCTTAGGGCTTGATTGTTTATGAAATAATTTGTTCAAATTGAATTATTTTGGTTAACTATAGTTAATTTTGAAAAATGTGGTATGGTTAGTTGTAGTGGAATTTTAAGAATGTATTAAAATAATATTTAAAATACAATAATTAAAATTGATTTGATGTAAAAGTAAGAGATAAATGATTGGAAATGATAGGTAGTTAAAATTATGTGAGTGGATGAATAGTGAATTAAAGTTGATGTGATGTGTAAGAATGATTGGTTTGTTTATTTAATTATATGAATAATATTAAGATAGTGTGATTGAGTTAAAGTTGAGTTAGATTTTGAGTTGAAATAAAAGTGAGTAAATTATTTGGTAAACAATCACCCCCTTAAAGCCTTAAACCTAACTTGTTCACTAATCTACTAAAAATAATAATAATAATAATAATAATAATAATAATAATAATAATAATAATAATAATAATAATAATAATAATAATAATAATAATAATAATAATAATAATAATAATAATCATCATTAGTCTATCCGCATCATTCTCCTCCGGTTCGAAAGGTTTCACCCTCGAAGCCGCACCAAACGTGCCGACACCGGAGTCGTACTCATGGCAACCATCGTCCTACGTTTCCCCCGATCGATCACGAAAATTGAATGTCTCCCAACGTCCACTCTAGCTGACCCACACAACATAGGACCGTTACTTCTAACCCAAACACCCCCAGGCATCATAAAATTAAGAAATTCAACACCACCTTCAAGGGATATGAAACATGGATTAAAATATGACAAAACTTTGTCAGACTCGTGCCCATGTAATTCTCTATACTGCACAATGCGGCCACCAAGAATCGCATCAAGTTCAACGGTGTTAATAGCAATAATTCCAGCTTCATCCTCCGGCCTCGGAGGTTCCTCATCGAAAATCGGAGGACCGTCGTACAACGGTCCGTCATGTTGTTCTCCATCCAAATCGGGAATGACCACGCAAAACAGGCCCTCCAATTGACTATATTCGTGATCAAGTCCCCAATCGCGCCGGGCACGATATCCGCCAGCGAAGGCTGCCTCCTCGCGCCAGCCCATGTCGTTGCGTTGATCGTCGCCGTCCACGAAGCCGTTCAGAGGTGGCCGGGACCACTGTCGGGGCGCCCCGACATGGCTGCGTCCCCCACAACCGCCTCTGTCTCCCCCGCGAAAGCCACGGCCCACAACCCCATCGCGGTTCGTTTGCAATTCCGAAACAATCACGTTGTTAAGCGTCAAATGCAAATCCTCGATCCCCGTCGAAAGATCGGCAAACCAATCCGTGAAACGCACGTCCAACTCATGAAATCGGTAGTCAATCTGTTGAAACCGATCGTTGAAGGTTGCATCATGTTGTTTGTTTGCGGTATCTTGGCGTCTCGGCGGCATCGCGATCGTACTGACTGCTGATACCAACTGATGTAGGGAAGCGTACGAATGGGAAGGATAAACGAGTAAACGAGATACTCTCTCGTAAAACACGTAAAACTCACAAAACTCAATCAATTCTTATTTCATATTCAACTACCAATAACAAAGAAGAAAGAGTCTTTAAATAAGACTCCTAAAGCCTTAAACCTAACTTGTTCATCAATCTACTACTACTACTAATAATAATAATAATAATAATAATAATAATAATAATAATAATAATAATAATAATAATAATAATCATTAGTCTATCCGCATCAGTAGGGCTGCAAACGGACCAAACGGCTCATCGATCGTGTCAAAACTCGAGCTTGACCGAACTCGAATCGAGCTTGAGCCCATATTTTGCATTGTCGAGTGGCTCGAGGTATATGTTGAATTTCTAAAATATCCACATATATATTATAATAGTTACTTTTATTTTCTCACTTTACAGCTTTTTAGTCGAGCTCGAACATTTTGATTTCGAATTGATTCGGTACAATTTTTTAGTCGAGCTCGAACATTTTGATTTCGAATTGAGCCCGAATCGAGAAATCTTGAATACTATATCAATAACACTTTTAAAATAAGCTTTTGTTGTATTGAATAAAATAAAATATAAATAAATACAAACCAAATCGTTTTAATATAATATAAAGTGATGATGTGACTCCACCCTATATATAATCTTCTACCTTTTCTCTTCCTATCACCTCCATCTACTCTCTCTCTCAGATTCTCGCTCTTTCAGATTCTCTCTCATATTCACAGAGAAACAACATGCAGAGTTTTGTGTGCCCACGGAACGCCTTCAATTTCATTCCGATTTACGGGAATCAAACCTAGCTGCCCTCCACCCAATTCCCAAAATAAAAGATTTTTCTTTTCGTTTTTGTTAATTGTTATGAGTTTTTTCACGCGCCCCTCAATCGAGAAGAACCAGAAAACCACCACTGATATCCCCGAGGAAAGATCCCGATGGCGGAGCCAATGGGCCGGAGATTCGCGGTGGGCTACGCCCTAGCCTCAAAGAAGCAAGCCAGCTTCATCCAGGTTTCCCTCATAGACGTCGCGCGCCAGCGGAACATCGATCTCGTCAAGATCGATCTCGAGAGGCCCCTAATCGAGCAGGGCCCCTTCGATTTGATCCTCCACAAAACCTACGGCCCCGAGTGGCGGCGCCAGCTGGCGGAGTACTCCGCCCGCCACCCCCGCGCCCTGATTATCGACCCACCCGACGCGATCGAGCGGCTCCACAACCGCATTACCATGCTCCAGGTCGTGACCGAGCTAGTCCTCCCCGGCTGCACGGCGTCGTTTGGGATCCCGAAGCAGATCGCCGTCTACGGCGGCCAGGAGGCCGTGGCCGATCTGGACCTGGCCGCCGAGGGTTTAAATTTCCCCGTAATTGCCAAGCCGCTTGTGGCCGACGGCAGCGCAAAATCCCACAAGATGTCCCTCGTCTACAACCGGGACGGCCTGGCCAAGCTTAAGCCGCCGGTGGTGCTCCAGGAGTTTGTGAACCACGGCGGTGTCATTTTCAAGGTGTATGTGGTCGGGGAGTATGTCAAGTGCGTGCGGAGAAAGTCCCTTCCCGACGTGGACGAGGAGAATCTCGGGACCCTCAAGGGCTCACTCTCCTTCTCGCAGGTGTCCAACCTGAACAGCCTCGAAAAGGGCCGGGACACATACTACAAGATGATGATGGACCTGGAAGACGGCAAAACAGAGGACCCACCCATGAGCTTCTTGGTGGACATCGCTCGGGAGCTGAGACGGGCATTGGGCCTCCTTCTCTTCAATTTCGACGTGATTAGAGACAGCAGGCTCGGGAACAGGTACCTCGTTATTGATATCAACTATTTCCCAGGGTATGCCAAGATGCCTGGTTATGAGCATGTTCTGACTGAATTCTTTTGGGAAATTTTGAGTAAGAGGAATAATGTTGTGTATGAGGATTCAATTGGGTTAAATGAGAGTGGTGATTTCGACAAGAAAGTGAGGGTGTTGGTGAGTAATTCTGGATGCAGTGGTGATGATGATGGTGGTGGGGTTTCGAATCTTCCAATTTCGCCTCTAAAACGTGAGGAGAAAGAGAACCCAATTCAAGTATGAGGGAGTAAAAGTGTAGTGCAGGGAATTTTCTTGGTATATTTTAGGGAAGGTTTTCTGTTAAGGGCCTATCAATGCGACTTATGCGGGTGTTAGAACTAGAATTAGCTCAGTCTCTTTGTTTGGTGGGTTTAAATCAAGTTGATCAGGTTTAGATAGGGTTGATTAGGCTGAAGGGGGTTTGAATAAGTAGAATTTCTTATTGCTTTGGAGCTAATTTGTTGCACGGTATGAAAGAGGTACATGGTGTTTGATTTTATTGTATATTCCAAGTTGAATGGGCAGGTTCTTTTGAGTGGAGATAAGTAATTTCTGATACTCTTGAAATGTTTAAGCAATTTTTGTGTTTTTTACTTGTGGGAAATTGTAGTTCCCGGCTGTGGGAAATCTTTGCTTGCATCTTTTGTATCATCTTCTGTCATACTGAATTATTATGTGCAGTTGATAAAAACAAGGTCATTTATTCTTTTAATCACCCTGCGTGTCGTAAAAAATGCAGCATGAGGGTGAACTAAGAGAATACGAAGAGATTTGAAAGGCTGGTGGTATTATTATGTGGAATGTACGATGAGATAACTAAGACGATTTTTGTTGAATAGAAAGCTAGAAAATTGGCAGTCCATTCCATGAAGTAGTTGCATTGGTCATTTACAATCAGGCTTTCCATGGCATCATGTATTCTGTCTAATTTGTGTCAAATGATAAATTGTTTGCCTCATAACATTAATGTCTGCTGTGAAATCTCCTGTTTCAGAATGCAGTTATACGGTGATTGGCTGATTGTAGAGTCATTTTATCCAGTATGAGTGTCAGGATTGTTTGTTTCGTTGTGTCATAATAAGCTTTGTAAATTACTGAGAATACTACAAAAAGTGAGAATATTTATGTTTTATCCTTTTAGGTTTACCTGAGAGCAAAATTAAAATGCCTTAAAGACTGTATTGTTTTGATATCTCTGGTATCGAAACCTTAGTGTAGTCGGTTTTAGCTGTTGATTTGTTCTCTTTGTGAATCCAGAGATATGAGATCAAATTAAGATGTTGAGACGTATCTTTTCTTGGTGTTCCTTAGTTTCTTGTTCCAATCTGCTTTTATTTTCTGGTGTACCGATTTGTATTATCTGTACTCCTGTGCACGTTGAATCATTGATATAGATGCTAGTGTTGTGGTGTGAAAAATTGTTTTGTCTGTGCTCCTGTGCACATTGATATAAATGTCAATGTTAAAAGTTCTGCTGATTGAGGTTGGACTTCATCAACACATTCTGCTGGGATGGGCAAGCAATCGTTAGCAGTTTCAAATATAACCATTTTTGTGATGTTTAGTCGAATTACAGATGCCCCCATTGAAGTTGTATCTGTAAGTCTACTATGAATATGCAGCCTACTGCGAATATGCAGTGGTCATACTTTTTTGAGCAACTATTGTATTTTTAAAATCAAGAGTCATTTCCCATGACAAATAATTTACATTATTCACTTAGTTTTATTATTAAGAATGTTTTTTTGCATTAAAAGTGAGGTTTTATTTGGAATTTGGGTAAAACAAATTGCTTGTGAGCTCGATTGGACTCAACTCGTTTGATAAGTGAGTCAAGCTTGAGTTCGTTTAAAAGACTAGTTGAGAATCGTTAGCTTGAGAATGGTGTTTTCTAGTTTCTAATAATTTTTCCTGAATTTTTAGCTTAGCTCTTTATTAAAATGTGAATTCAATTTGTTAAAATTGATAAACAAATCAAACTCGACCAATTGCTTGGAAGTATTACTTCGCACGAGTTGCGAACATAGGGTCATTTCATAAGATCTTGCATTTTATGTTTTTTCACATGGGCATTTGACATCTTATAGTAGGTCATAAACTATGTTTGGTAAGCTTAGCTGATACGTAAAATATAAAAAAATAAAAAACAAACAAACAAACAAACAAAAAAAAAAACAATTAGTTGATAAATGATAAGTTGACTGATGGGTAAATCTACCTGAAAAGCTAGTCGATAGCTGATAAGTGAGTTTTGAGCTTATAGCTAATAACTTATGGTATGGTTTATGACTGAAAAACTAGTTGAGATAGTAAAATTGTTTGGTAATAAGCTGATAGGTCAACTGAAATAAAATTTTAACAAACTTTTTTGGAAAGTTGCCTAAGAAAGCTTACGAGATCAGCCTATTTAAAAAAACATTGTCCTACCAAATCGGGCTTATTTGAATGCAAGAAACTTATAAGCTAACTAAATATGCTATAAGCTAGCTTATGGTTCTTACCAAACACACTCTCAGCGAATTTCAAACTCGTAGCTCATAACTTATGGCAGAAAAAAGCTAATTGATATGACAAAAGTATTTGGTAAAATTAACTTAATAAGCCAGTTGAAATAAGTTTCAACGGACTTATTCAAAAAGCTATGTAAGAAAGCTTATGAGGCAAGCTCATTTGCATATACATAGCTTATTAACTAACGAAATAAGTTATAAGCTAACTTATGCTTCTTACAAACAGACTCCATGTGTTTTATTTTTTCAAACATGACAAGTATGTAGTCCGTGGATGCACGCGACAAAGGTGTTAGATAAGTCATTTCCATATGATTTGTCCGTTTAGGCCCCAAATCATGGTTGGATAATTCATTTTTCATCTCTTTTAATCAATTTTTTTTAGCCAGAATGTTAAAACTCATCATGTTAGAGCTAACTTGTAAGTTAATTCATATTCATCCCGATAATACATTTAGTATATATAAATTTGATTTTAGTATATATAGTTATTTTTTGAGAATTAAAACAAAAAAGTTAAGTGGTGGAAAAAAAAAAAAAAAGAAAAAAGGGGTGGAAAGAAATAGAAAGCCCGTACCCGTGAATACAGTTTTTGAAAAATTTATTTAGAAAACGTATTCCGTGAATACATTTTCTTTTGTAAAAAAGATGTGAAAAACGTATTCAGTGAATACGTTTTTTAATTAAATTATACAGAAAACGTATTTTGTAAATACGTGTTTTTTATGTTGGTCCACTCCCTCCTC